TTTATTTTTTGAATTATTAGTTTTTTTTTATTTTTGCCACTGAATTTTTCTAAATTGGAAGCATTTAGGAATCACTCCTTCACAATGTCTGTATCAGTAAACGGTTTCTTATGAAAACCAATCATATGACAAATTTCATAGGGTGCATTTGTTACCACTGTGGCATTACCAGTGACAACACAATTTTTGCTGTTGTAAAGATTATTCAAGAAGCCTATTTATATCACCTCTTGAAAGAGATCTTCGAAGAAAAGTGTCACTTAACGATTCCTGTTGGTTAGTATTTTTTAAGTACACTTTCGTGACAAATCGAACAATTACTGATCCATGCTTGTTTTTCACTACAGAATAGTCAACTTCGTAATCGTCTCGAAACAACCTATTTTCTTCGAATATTTATCGCTTGCAAGATACGAGATATAGTTAAAAAATAGTTCCACTAATAAAATAGTCGCTACTCCTATGTTGTCTATTATCACTAATCAGAAAAAAAATATCCATTCACACCCATATGATATCGACAGCAAAAATCAAGGTTGATGAATTTAATTTCTTAACAAAGAATCAAAAATCCCACCTGATATTTATATATAAATGAATTTTTCAGAGCAATGGGCCATGGTCGGGTGCTTAAAAAGACCCAGTGTGCCGCAGGTTGAGTATCGCTGCTCTATATAGAAAGCAAGTAAACAAAAACGTGCTGACTAAACTTTGACCTTTTGGCACGCTTCATTTGATTTAAATTGTGTTTATCTCATTTGAAAAATTTGCGGGGTTGGATCTCATTTGGAAAATTTGCGGGGTTGGATCTCATTTGGAAAATTTGTGGTTGGATCTCATTTGGAAAATTTGCGGGGGTTGGATCTCATTTGGAAAATTTGCGGGGTTGGATCTCATTTGGAAAATTTGCGGGGTTGGATCTCATTTGGAAAATTTGCGGGGTTGGATCTCATTTGGAAAATTTGCGGGGTTGGATCTCATTTGGAAAATTTGCGGGGTTGGATCTCATTTGGAAAATTTGTGGTTGGATCTCATTTGGAAAATTTGTGGTTGGATCTCATTTCTAAATTTCTCAAATATTTGTCTTTAATAAACAAAATTCTATAATACTTGTAGAAACGTTGATTAGATACCAAAATAACTCCCTTGGAGACAGATGTGGATATTAAAATTATCAACCAATACGAATGCATGTATACATCGTGGTATAATGACATTTTGAAATACTTACCCGTGATGCCTTGGAAGAAATAGTAATAGAGAATAGAATTCATTTGACGTATTTTTAAACAGAACTGTTATTACGAATAGGAACCAATGTACTCAACTATCAAATGCAGTGACATCCATGTAACTTTTCGTGATTTTTGACATTTGCTATAGGTGAAGTCAGATCCGCATCCCTCAACTGATGCCATGCATTATGCATGTCTTATCTGCTCACCGGGACAATATTCGATACGAAATACTAAAACGGCCGTTAATTGTTTCTCCAGTCAGTGCGATTCTAGTTCGGGCAAACATTGACTTCTGCAAATGAAATCGTCATTTTTCACAGGTTTTCGAAGTAATAATCATTATTAGCTCTGAAGCTACATTTTGTGTTATCTGTTAATTGACCATTTGGTCATTAGTATAATGGTTATATAACGGATCTCTTACGAGTACAAATAGGTTATGTGAGCCTATTTGATGATTGCTTTGCATTTGCATTCAGTAATTTCTACAGTAGTCTGTTACGTTACCGAAGCTGCATTCCTTAATTATCTTCTGTTTAATCATTTCTGTGAGTATCGTTGAATGTTGGGGTCATTCTGATCCAAATTTAAACGGTTACTTGAACTTACCCTCTGTTACTTAAAGCCCCACAGCACGTCGATTACTAAATGATGATCAATGATCCTATTGAGTGACTTATGTATAATCCATAAGATTCCATGATGTACACTTGAGGTAAGTAAAATTATTTTAATTACTTCTTGAAGTTTCAAAATATAATTGGAATTTTTCATCCTCTGATAGCAGCCCCGACATCCAGTTCAGTTTTGAAGCTCCAATTTTGTAATCTCAGTTCAAAAAAATGTAACCAATAACATATTTACTGGATATAAATTAATTAAAATACAGTCATTTTCATAATGTATCCATCTCTGTATATATATATATATATATATATATATATATGCATATATGTATTGCTACTAATTTTGTATTTACTAGATCTATATGCTAATCTTTTTTTTTTTCATTTAAGAATTAAAATTATAAAGAAACTAGTTATTTTTAATTAATTTTTACGTTTGGAACATTATTTTTTTCCTGGATTATTTAAGTATCTGATTTTGCATAGTAGATATTCATGTTTAAGGTAAATATTTAAGGTACAATAAAATCTGATAGAATTAAAAATACACATATTTTTAATATATGTTCTTCAGCTAAAAATATCAAACTGTTAACTTAAATGATAAAATATATATTAAAATTTCTAAAAAAATAATAATAAATGTAAGAATATATTTCTAAGTATTTTGTATAAAATTGTATTAAGAGCTTGTAGAAAATTAAACAAATAAAATATTCAAGGAAGGTGAAAAAAAAGTGTGTGTGTACTTATGTACTCATGTAAGAAGTTATACTTATTTGGCCTAACAAGATTTAAATATTTCTAAAAATCTAGAGCAGGGCAAGCTGGGTCAAGGGCAGAGTTGAACGATAAAAACCTTCAGTCAATCGGATCAGCCAAACCCGAGATTATCATGATTTAAATAAATTTACACCCCCTCCTCTCACTGGAACAATTGGACCAATCATATGGGAGTTTTCGGCAGACTGTATCTGGAGATGAGGTGAAACGATTGTGACACCTAAGAAATCATATTGAATGTCTAGGCGGGAAGAATCGTTCCTTAGAAAATTAAATCATCCGCCTGAAGAGTCCCCGAGTTATGGTCATTTTAAAATAATTAAAACAATTAAATAAAGTAGAATTAGGGCACATAGCAACTCGAACCGGTCCGAGGTCTGTATCAGCAAATGGGGCGGCACTAGCTCGGGAATTGAAAAACGAATCTAACTCCCCACGGGGGACAATTGTGGCGTAAATGGTCACCTACATCCCAGCGATACACAGAGTAGTAGGTGATTCCAAAGTTTCATCCTCCTATCTCTGCAATATCGTTATGTCAACAAAAGAATGAATGAATAACATGGGGATTCTAATTTTAGTCATAACGCCTCCCTAAGCCCACTATCTACACACGCATTATAACAGATGGAACAGCTCAACGAGAAAAACCTATGGCCCGAGTTTCATTAATGAACCTCAAAAATCCTCGGTGCTATGCGGGATTTTAAAAAAAATTATAACTTTAAAATAATTTTAAAATGTTAAATATAGGTGAAGAAATGGGGTTATGGTCCTGAACAAATATATCTAGGATGCTCATTGGAAGAACAATGGAATCCAACCAGTGCGGTCGACCAAGGTGGCAGAGGAATGTAGTTATTTCTGGAAAGCTCTGTAGGGAGGGACGGGGACAATTCTACGTGTAAAGCTCGCTCTAATACGAAAATAAGGAGGACCCCCAAAAATCAAGTTCCACGCTCAATTCCTTAGGGAGAGGGGTGATGAAATTTCTTCCAGTCATTATAGGATTAATATGGGAACATGATATTTTAGTGCTTAAGCCCTCCCTATGTCTATACAATGGGAATGAAGTAGATGAATGGATCAGTCTCGACGTGTGGAACAGTTGGTTCAAATCCCAAGTCCGATACCCGAAAAGGAGCCAAGATATTGTGAATTCAAACACATTTAATAAGTTAATACAGTTAAAAACTATGGAAGAAATAGCCATATGAGCATGACATTATAATAACTGGAAGAGCAGATAGAGAGGGATCGAATGAGCCAGGTCCGAATGGACTGTGAGGTTCGGGTGCCGAGATTTTGGCCAAAAGGCTGTAGGGGGTGCGTCCCAACCAGTGGCGCACACAAGGAGATATCCTAGGGGTCTAGACCTCAGCCCCCAAAGCCCTTGATTTTTTCCCGATTGATTATAATTTTAAGTATATAATACGTAAAATTTAATTAAATAGTTGTTTTTAATGATTAATCTTATTAATTAATACTAATAATTTATTCAATAATTAATTTTTTTACTGTTTAGTGTTCCCCCAAATCGACAAAATCAAAAGGAGCATGATACAAAAATGGTGGGCTTTCGACCCTGCTCCTCCCTTGGAAAACTTCTGTGTGCGCTACAGGTCCCAACATATATGGTTTATAAGAATAATTATTATGATGACCCAAATATCAATCCCTTAGCACCAAAAGAGTGGTATGCTAAAATATTAGACAATATTAGACAATATTAAAATATTAGACGCGTGCGCATCGTGAAAATTTATCCTCATCCTTTTTCCCTAACGCCCAAAAGGAAATATAATTTCAAAAATAAATATACGAATACAAAACACTCTTATAATTTGCTACAATGTAATAAATGTGTTTATGTTCATCGCAATGCGCTCGTTATAAATATATCTATAATCATCTACTTGCAATTATTATATAAATAGGTAAACTGATATTTACAGTTATGTTTTACGTACATAAAACAAATTATATTAATTTTTTTTTTAATTTCAAGTAACTATGTTTGGTTGAATAACAAATAGTGTTCAAAAAAATTCATCAGAGATGCTTCGTAGACGAAGGATGATCTCTCTATACTAGTAGTGACGTCACAAATCAGCAGAAAATAAAGATTCGCTGACACGGGGGAGGGGGTATAGTTCAGTGGTAGAGCATTCTCCTGTTGATATTGAGGTCCTCGGATCAAACACAGGTGCCCCCTTCTTTATGGAAGTGAAGAGAAATATTTTTTTGAGAATTTCGAAGGCGGAATGAGATCTGTCCCACTCTGTATATTTCTATACAAAGCATTTTCGTATCCGTTCCTACGGAACGCAAAGCAAAGGTTAGCTGATGCAAGGGTGTAGCTCAGTGGTAGAGCATTCGACTGCAGTTCGAGAGGTCCCCGATTGAAACCCGGGTGTCTCCTTCTTCCGGAAAGATAAATATTTTTTTAGAACTTCGAAGGCAGGAATGATCTATCCCGTTCTGTATACTTCTAGACAAAGCATTTTCGTATCCGTTACTACGGAAAGCAAAGCAAAGGTTTGCTGACACAAGGTGTATAGCTCAGTGGAAGAGCATTCGACTGCAGATCGAGAGGTTCCCGGTTCAAATTCGGGTGCCCCCTTCTTCTAGGAAGTAAGTAGAAATAATTTCCTGAGAATTTCGAAGGCTGGAATGATCTGTCCCGTTCTGTATATTTCTAGACAAGTCATTTTCGCATCCTTGACGGTGTGCGTCACATCAGTGAAAATGTGCGCACCGCATCGTAAAAATTTAACCTCATTATTTTTCCCTAACGCCCCAAAAGAAGTATAACTTCAAAAATCTGCAAAACACTTTCAACAATAAATTGATAATTTTTGAAGAATGGAAAAAACTGCTATTGAAAAATATAAAATTAAAATGGATATTTATATATATATATAGCCTTCCTATAAAATTCTGGTTTGAATCATGAATTTGATTTTTGTTTGATATTTTACTTTGCAAAAACAAAGAATTTGAAAAATTAATAAATATACTAATAGCCAAAAAGAGCAAAAATACATATAAAACACGCGTATCCCTATTTACAAAATAGTTATGGCTTATTCAAGTCGGATACAAAAAATCATCATGCTTCAAAATATTAAGTTAACTCCAAACAGTCAGCAAAATTTTAAAAATTAGTAAAATTATTGGGATAAAAACAAAAAAATTATATAGGAGAAATTTATAATCTAATTGACATAAATCTTATTTTCACTTAAGCAAATTCTGGCCTTGAATAAAAAAAGTTTTGACTTAAAAATATATAAACCAGCTAAAAGTGACATATAGTAGGTATTACAAGGCACCCCCCTAATGAAGTTATCAGTTGAAAAATCCTTAATTTATATTTTACACTTTTAATACGAGTATTATCTCTCTCGACTCATAGTTAATGTATATATATGTTTCAAGTTCATACTTTTCTTTTTAAAATATATGATATTTATGAATAATTTAAAAATTACCTTTCGATATGCACAACACAAAATAAAACATATAAATATTTTCTTTTTTATACATACAATTTTATATAATTTCAATTTAGTTAAGCAATAAAATAAAAGAATCAGAGAAATATATCTCATCAAATATTTTTATTTCTTAAATTTCTGTAAATTCTGATAAATTTGTTTCCATCAGTTTTGTTTAACATCCTTTTTTCACCTTTACTTTTCTACTATAAAATGTACGGACTTACACATTACTAATGCTCTCAATTTAAGTATGCAAATGCATTATACACTCTGGGACATTGAAAATAGCGACCCAAGAAGGAAGCTAAGTACAATCGCGAAACTTTGCAAATAAGTACAGCGTAATGGGACATGCAAATGATCCAAGTTTTGTGTCAATACGCATGCTCATACACGCCGAGGTGGTGCAACAATCAGGAAGAGGGTGCTATATAAGGCAGCGCAAACTCGAAGATTTATAAACATGACGATTACCCGCTGATTGTAGAAAGAGTTTGGTAAGCGAAACATACCAAGTAAACGTGTTAGAAGACATTTCTCACAGTTAAGCGAGTTTGAAAGAGGTCCGATCATCATGATTAAAACTTCAGGCTGGTCAACGCGCCGTGTTGCTGGCCAGGTGGATCGTTCGGAGTGTGCCGTTAGAAATTGTTGGAAGCAGTGGACACGAGAAGGTACCCACGCGCGGAAAATCGGGTTTGGAGTGACCAGGAAGACCACGAGAAGAGATGATCGCAGGATCGTGCGGCAAGCACTTATGGACCCCACAGTGACTCGTTCAACGATACCAGCAGAAATAGGCGTAGCAATTGTTCCAAAAACAATTTCCAGACATCTTGTAGAAGCAAATCTTAAATCCAAGCGCCCTTTCCATGCACTACATTTAACACCGGAACATGGGCAACTGCGTCTACAGTGGTGCAAAGCCAGATCAATGTGGAATGTCGCAGATTGGCAAAAGGCTGTGTTTAGTGATGAGTCCCGGTTAGTTTTGGAGACAGATGATAACCATGTACGGGTGTGGAGGCGCCCTGGTGAGCGGTACAATTCCCCACACACTGTTCTACGTCACACTGCCCGCACAGCTGGTGTAATGGTCTGGGGGCCATTTTTAGCCGGTCCACTTTAATTGCGATGCGTCGAATCGTAACGGGCCAACGTTATGTTGATGATGTTCTTTGACACCATGTAGGGCCTTTACAAAATGGTCTCCCAGGGACAATTTTCCAGCAAGATTATGCTCATCAGCATACAACAAGAGTTGATCAAGACTTCCTACGTCATTTTCGGACTCTTCCATGGCCAGCCAGCTCCCTCGATTTGTCCCCTGTAGAGCACGTGTGGGATCAGCTAAAACGGCAGATGACATCGTGTCACTCTGTACAAGATTTAGAGTTGGCTGTTCAAGATTTGTGGGCCCATCTGCCTCAGAAATACATAAGGTGCCTAATCAACTCAATGCCGGACCGTGTGGCAGCATGTGTTGCAGCTGGAGGTAGTCTAACGCGCTATTGAAGTTACCCAGTATTTGTGTCGTTGCACACCCTGTATTCACTTAATTGTCTTGTTTTTGAGATCAAGTGAGTCTCTCATCTGTGTCATTATGTGTATTAAATTTCATTTCAATCCGATGCTTTCTTCTTGGGTCGCTATTTTCAATGTTCCTGAGTGCATGTTGTAACACTTTTTTTCAAAATAATTATAAGCTATTATCTCACACCAAAGTAAAGAGAAAAACTAATTGACAAATGGTTAATAAAATTTCTACTACTGCAACCGAAACAAAAATAAATAATTATATTTAAAATACTTGATTAGTAAATCTTAAAAGCTTTCGTTCTGTTAAAGGCGTGCACTAAATGTAAACTAAAAATTAACATAAAATTCGAAACATTAAATTAGCTAACGAAGTGATTTAAAATATTAAAATTACAGATGAATAACAAAGTAAATAGGGGGGAAATCATAAAATATATAAATATGTGCAGGAAAAATAAAAGCTAAAATATTTGTTTTCAAAATAAATAATTTTCTGTCAGTAATATGGATATTTTCCTCTATATTTATATTTCAACTAATTAATAATCATTATAGCTAGACAAAGAGAGAGATAGAGACAAAGAGGTAAAATATATCTAAACATATTTTTTTGACTATATAAGACTTTTTCTGGATAACATTTCTGCCAATATTTATTAAAGCACATTGCACTATTAAACTTTATATTTCGGACCTTATTTGAAATTGTATTATGAATTTATATATAACAAGATTCAGATACTTAATTTCAGAAAGGTAGTGCATGAATTATATAAAAAAATTAGAATTATGATATTACGAAAATATTTTCCAGCATTTATTAATATATTGTTTACATAGGTAAAAAAGAAATCAGAATAATATAAACTTCAAAATGTGTAAGAAAAGAAGATAATTGTTTTTTAGTCAGGTAATATTTTCTTAAAAATAAGTTAATATCTAATTTTAAATTAATACTTATTCAAAGAAATAAAATATCGAATGACCTTCTGTAGAAAATGGCCTTTGTGAATAAAAAGTCTTTACATATTTATTTGGGATTCCTATTTTGACTTTGTCAGTTCTCTGACCACAGTAACAAACAACTACTAGTTAAACCGAGGAAATTATGTGTGAGATAAGATAGTCAGCAAAAATATTGGTCCAAGTGGACTATGAGATAAGGTAATAAAAAAATTGAGAAAGAGGAAAAGTGCAAGTGTTTAGCTGATAGGCTTTGAGATAAATCAACAAATTGAGTTTCAACGTAGTACTCCAAAATAACAAAGTGACCAAAATATTTTGGTAGGGATGAAATAAAATAGTTAGTGAACACAATATAATTTGTATGAAACTTCAGAAAAAACACAATTAATTTAATAACTGTATCAATACAAATGTTTTCGAAAATCTTTCTATTTTATTTCTGTACTCGATAACTATTTATTAAACATATGTCATTTGTGAAGTTTATTCTCCCTTAATTATTCATTTTCTGTTTTAAAACCATTATGTTAATTCTACTTAAATCAGGAGGTCGGAGTTTATATTTTAATAAAGTTTTAAAAAAATATGTCAAACGCTGAAGTGAACTGCATTTCTCAGTTTGGAATTAAATTACGTTTATGGATGCAATCATTAAGATTCATTGCTATTGTGAAAAGACAAAATTAATGTTGTAAATTCTTGACTGTATGGAAAAGGCAAGTAATTTGTCAAATTTAAATTAGGATATTTTTTTTTTAAAAAGAGTCTTATGTGTACTTTAATTTCATCCCCTAAACAATAATACACACACTGGACAATAAATTAGAAACCTTTGAGGTTTGCATTTCAACGCATTCTAGTAATAATGCATACAATTTTTATGACCTGAGTTACAAGTTATTAGAATGCAAGTATAAATTTTTTTTCGCAATAAATGAACTAAAATGGGAAACATTACACATCTTTCACCATTTGAAAAAGGGCTTAGTGCTGGTGCCGGTTTAGTAGAGACTTCAATTCTCAATGGTACCCATATCAAATGTTTCGTTTTCCAGAAAACGCAACTATGGTTCCAGCGTAACTTTCCAAGAGTGTGATCAGCTTCGTGTTCCCCGAATTGTACAGCAGAACAGGGAATTTAGTGTGCTTCAACTGACACAATTTGTCAACCAAGGCCCTTCCCAATAGATTTCATTTCGAGCCATGTGCATAGAATTCTGGAGGATAAGAATGGTTAGTCAGTTGCCTGTGAGTAAAACACTCACTTCTGACTGAAATACGAAAATTTGTTTGCAGTGATGTCAGAAAAGAAGACCCTGGACACATGAGGAGTGGAAACTGATAATGTGGTCAGATGTGACTAACGCTACACTTTATTTTGCAATGATGGAAGACGTTAAATTTGGAGAAAACC